GCCCATCAGGGCGGGCAGGCAGGGGACTCTGCCCATCCTCTCTGGAGCCTCCCAGGGAGGGGAAGAGGAGTCCCCAGCGGGGCTGATGGAAGCTTCCCTGTCCCATTACTTGCCCCAGCTCCACACCGTGCCATTGACAGTGAGGACTGCTTCCCACACAAGCCTCTGACCCCCATTTCCTATCTTCTACCTTCCTCTCTCCACCTCCTTTTCCAGGTTCTCCATCACCTGCCTTCTGACTTTTTTCATTCATTCAACAAAAATGTATTGAGTGCCTAGGGACTGTGGCAAGCCCTGTTCTGAGTCCCTGGGAATCCAGTTGTCTGTCTGCCTCTAGAATTCTCCACCCTCGGTCCTCAGCTTTTATTTCTCCTGGTCTAGTCTGGTCCTTGGTCCCCATCACCTCTTCTTCCGGCTCCTTGGAGCGGTGGATGTCCTGGGTGTCTGTCTCCCACAGCTCTGCCTCTCTGTGCCCAGCTAAGACTCTCTCCCCCTCCTTTCTCCCCCAAACCTTGGCCTGCGGCCGGGCGACACCACGAGTTATTTCCCTGCTATTTCCCGGCCCGGAGTTCTTGGCCCTTGAACAACTGGTTTCCTCTTGGAGTCTGGGAGGAGCAGAGCGGAGCCGGCAGGGAGCGACCCGGGACCAGGGGGCCGCCGAGGGCAGGAGAGAAGCGCAGGGACGGGACAGGGATCCGCGGGAGGGTCCGGAGAAATGAGCGCCCAGAAGGAGGCCCCGGGAGCCGGGAGGGGGTGAGTCTGGCGGAGGGCAGGAGGGGGAGTGGGGACGGGAGGGGGCTGGGGGAAAGACTGGGCGCCGGCGGGGGCGTGGGACGGGGGCGACCCGCCCTCCTGGCCCTCCCCGCCCCCCCTCCCCGGTGCTCTCGCCTCCTCGGCTCTGGGGCGACCCTCCGTCGTCCCCCCGGGGCCGCCCAGCCTCGGGCCCATGGCAGTGGGGTGGGGACCCGCTCGGGCGCGCCGAGTGGGATTCTGGGTCCCGATTCTGGGTCCCGACTCCCGTCCCGCCTGACCCACAGACTGCGAGAGGACCCCGGCGGCCGGAGTCCCCGTGCCACCGCCATGAGGCCGCTCGTCGCCGTGCTGCTCCTGGGCCTGGCGGCCGGCTCGCCCCCGCTGGACGACAACAAGATCCCCAGCCTGTGTCCCGGGCACCCCGGCCTTCCCGGCACGCCGGGCCACCACGGCAGCCAGGGCCTGCCCGGCCGCGACGGCCGCGACGGGCGAGACGGCGCGCCCGGGGCTCCGGGAGAGAAAGGCGAGGGCGGGAGTCCGGGTAAGAAGGCCGCTGGGTCGCCGTCCGCGGGGCGGTCCGCGCTCGCCGGGCCGAGGGCAGGGGCTCGGGGTCCCGTCAGGGGGCGCCACCGGGCTCCGGGAGCGAGGCGTCCGCCGAGAGGGTGACTCTGCGGGCCGCAGCACACGGCTCCAGGGACCCTCTGCGGCCGGCCGCTCGGGTCCGCCCCGGCCCTTCGGGCAGCGGGGCCCGGGGCACTGGCGGCGGGGCGGCCCTCGCCGGGGAAGCGGCGGCAGGGGCCCCAGAGAGGGTGGGGAGGGTGGGTGCTCAGCGTCGCCCTCCGCGCACCCCGCTGCGGGCGGCCGCCGCCGCCACTCTCGCCCTAACCGCTCCCCGCACCCCGCAGGACTGCCGGGGCCCCGGGGGGAGCCCGGGCCGCGAGGAGAGGCGGGACCTGCGGGGGCGACCGGCCCAGCGGGCGAGTGCTCGGTACCTCCGCGCTCCGCCTTCAGCGCCAAGCGCTCAGAGAGCCGCGTGCCTCCGCCATCGGACGCGCCCCTACCCTTCGACCGCGTGCTGGTGAACGAGCAGGGACATTACGACGCCACCACCGGCAAGTTCACCTGCCAGGTGCCCGGGGTCTACTATTTCGCGGTCCATGCCACCGTCTACCGGGCTAGCCTGCAGTTCGATCTGGTCAAGAATGGCGAGTCCATCGCCTCTTTCTTCCAGTTTTTTGGGGGGTGGCCCAAGCCTGCCTCGCTCTCCGGGGGCGCCATGGTGAGGCTGGAGCCAGAGGACCAGGTGTGGGTGCAGGTAGGCGTGGGTGATTACATTGGCATCTATGCCAGCATCAAGACAGACAGCACCTTCTCGGGATTTCTGGTGTATTCTGACTGGCACAATTCCCCTGTCTTCGCCTGATGCCCCCTGGAAAGTGAGCCAACGCTCTCTCACTCCTAGGGGAGGAGGGTGTGACTCTGACAGCCGCAGATCCCGGAGGGCTGGCCCCCCCGCCTTGGGATGTTGTGAATGACTCCGTCCTGCTGCTGGCAGAGAACGGGGACAGAGGCTGTCTGAGATCAGCGCTGGCAATGTGGGCAGTGGCTGGATTTCTGCCCAAAACCAAAGGCGCACTCTCTGTTGGCAGGTGTGGGCCGCCCAGTTGCTCTGGCCCAGGACCCCGGAGCTGGGGTGTCCTCTTCCTCTGGGTGCTCCCTATCCCTTCTACTCCTGGGCCCTTTTTTCAGAGATCATTCAATAAATCACCCCCCCCCCAAAAAAAAAAAAAAAAAAAAAACCTCCTACTGACTCAGCCTTTCTTCTTTAAGTGGTGGGGATGCCCTGAATCTGAGGATGGTGAGGGGGAGAGGGAGGGTAGCGGAAGGAAGGGCTCTTGGGCTGGATGAGCCGTGGGGCATGAGATACAGGATGCAGACCCAGCTGAAGGAGAAGCCGCTCCATAGAGCTGCCCCTAAGCAGTGTGGGATGTGAAAAGGAGTGCCTGGCTGCGGAGGGTGGCCTTCTAGCATGGGGCTCTGACCACGTTTTCCTAACTCAAAGATGTCCTATGAACGCGGCGGGGGCTACCTTCACCACACACACCCCTGCCCTCGTCAACAAAAAAGGAGCCCGGGGTTTGCATTTGTGTCTGCTCTGGCTGCTTGCCTGGTGTCTAGATGACTGGCCCGCTATTTCTGTCCCCCCCGTTCCAGGGAAGTGGTGCGTTCCTGGGAGGCTAGATAAGTAATTTCTGAGTTGACCACAAGAGGGCGCTCCAGCCCCAGAATACAGCCATGACCCTGGGTAGCTAGAGCTCATGCCTGCTAGGATGGTTGGGGGGAGGATGGGCGTATTGAGGTCTGCCAATGTAATTCCGGATGGGGGTGCAGGAAAAGGGGGTCCTTTGCTCCCAGCTCTGGAAGTTTATCTTCTCTCATAAAATGTTTATCCTCACATTAAACAGAGACTGGAAGGAGACAAGCCTCCCCACGCTCAGCTCCCCTAGGGTTGGGGGAAGGAGGGAGAAAGCTCTCCCTAGGCCTCCCAACTCCAAGATGCCTGTGGGAAACTGCTCCACCATGCTGAGCATAGCCTGGGTGGGCCGCGCCACTAAGTCTGAGGCTAGCCACAAAGCCCCTTCAAGGTTCCCCTCCTCTGACCTTCAGAAGCCAGCCCCAGCCCCACCCCCAATCCAATGACTAACAAACCAGGGCTTGCCAGACCCACAATCAAGTCAGCCTCTCAACCCCCAAGAATGCAGAGGGGCCTCTTCTCAGTTTCTTCCTGACCTACCCTTTCTTCCTCTCCACCCCACCCCCCAACCACCCAAAACGGCTTCCAGAAGGCTGCCCCTGGCATTATGCGCCTAGATTTAACATACAATTGTGGGGGAGTTCCCCCCCCCTCCTTGCTGGTCATGTGAGGGCAGATATAATGAGGGGATTGGGCTCAGGTCCTGGATTTCAGCTCCCAGCTCTCCACCAGGAGGCCTCACAGCCCAAGAGACACAAAGTCAAGGGCCAGCTCCTCCAGGGACCAGAGGGTAGACTGGACTCCAGGCAGCAAGAACCCCAAATTCCCTCCTGGGAAGAGTGGCACCAGAGAGGCTGGGAAGCCATTCACAATTCCTCTGTACTAAGGTTTCATTCTGGCAAAAATAGAAAAGATGGAGAGGGCTTTCCAAAAGCCAGGTGTGTGAGAGGGCACAAATAGGAGGTAGTGAAAGCTAATTCGGCCACAGTTGGCATGGGCCCTCCCCAAGGCACAGTACTCACATCCTATCTGATCTCTTCCCTCAACCAGGTCCTCCCCAGACCACAGTGACTCCAACAGGACCAAAGGACCCTGCCACAGCATCAGTCAGCCTGACCAACTGCTCACCCCTGTAAGGATGCACACAGAGGCGGTCAGAGCTGTCAAAAGAACTTTATTCACTAGAAACTGGGCCAGACAGACCCAGCAGGGAGCTGCGTGCCCCTGGGCTGGCCCCTTCCATATTTGGACCCTAGTGAAATGTGCACAGTCTGCCCTCCCAGGGCCGGGGAGAGACAAACAGAAGGGGAACGCCAATGTTCTTTGTGATGTGGGGAGTGGAAAGGGTAGTAGAAATCTGGTTATCCCTCCTGAGGCTCCCAGTGGAGCTGGGGTGCCAGAGGGCATGTGGTCCCAAAGCCAGGTGCAGACACCCACCTTCCAAGGAGTAAACTCTTGACCCTAGCTGTTAGGATCCTTGATCCTATCAGGTTGGGAGGGGGCCTCATAAGATCAAGACACTCAGAAGTGGTAGCTCTAAGGGCACCTGAAAGATACTATCCCCAAGGCCTACCAGGACACAGGTGTTCTGGCTGAAAGCAAAGGTTCAAGATCATTCCAAGGCCCCTGCATTGCCAAAATACCCAAATGACTGCTTTGCTGTGGCTGAAGCTGGGGAGGAAATGGGGAAGGTCTGGGGAGGGGACCTGCAAACCCCCAACAGGAACACCAGAAACACAGAGGGGGAGCCCCAGAGGCTGGCATCTGGATGGGCCCTGGCGACCTGGAGGGGAGTCCACAGCAGCCTCGGGGCCTTGCATAGTGATACACTCACCACCTCCGGCATCACAGAGACCCACTGGGTAAGGAAAAGCTGTGACCCTGCCCCACCCGGCTCACAGTCTTCCAGAGCATCCTATCTCAATGTCCTGGACGAATGGCTTAGAGGTTTGGCATGACAGCCGTGGGGGTGGGAGGGGATTCAGACCAGAAATCGAGAGGTCAGGTGTTAAAGCTGTCCTAGCACAGGTGGCTTCGTGGAGCACGGAAGGGTGGGCAGACATGGAAGGAGTCTTCAGAGGTAGACGTTGAGGGTCTGCAGAATGCCCCGGCGGCAGAGTGGGCAGTTGCGGTGGTAGACGGGGTGGCGCATCAGGATCTCAGTGCAAGCCTGGCACAGGCAGAGGTGCCGACAGGGCAGAAGCAGCACCGTCTTGCTCTGGTCCTGGCAAATGACACACTTCTTCCGCTCCTCTTGCTCCTTGAGCAGCTTCCACGGGTCCTGCCCGGCTACAGGCTCCTCTTCGTTGAGCCTCTCCCGGCCGCGGGCAGCTGTCACCCTGACCATCCTGACCTCCTCCTCTTCTGCCTCTGATCTGGGCCTGGTTTCAGGAAGGGTGTCCTGTCGCCAGGTCCTGGCTGAGGGCACCCTCCTGGGGCCACCCTGAGGGGCCCCGGGGGCCCCTCCTCGGCTTGGCCAGGTCGCCAGCTGCAGGCTGCGGCTCCAGACTCGGCGCCAGGCCTCCAAGTCCAGTGCGAGGCGAGAGAGCCGCACAACATCTTCTCGGAGCCGGTGGTAAGACGGCCGGGCGTGGAGCTGACTGAGTGCCCGGGTGGCCAGTCTCAGAGTGAGGTCCGGGTGCAACACGGTCACCATCACTGCCAGCACACAAGCCAGCAGCACCAGGCCGGTGACATTGACAAGCACAAAGCTGGCCAGGAGGCGGGCAGCCGACGCTAGGAGCTCCAGCGCTAGCTGGCAGGGGGTCCAGAGGAGGATGGCCATGGCCACAGCACTGCTGGAAATGTGGGCTAGGAAGGCAGCTACAACGTCTGTCATCCTCCACAGGGGCCCCATCACTGCATCCCACAGGGCCAGCATCAGGGAGAAAAGGTTCTGAGTGCCAATAAGGCAGATGTTGACCAGACTGTTGATCACGTAGGCCACCAGGCTCATGGCAATGGCACAGATATCACAGGCCTGGCGCAGCAAGGCATGGCCACTGGAGACCACATTGAGGACACCCCGGTGCAGTATCTCCCGGCTCCTCAGTGCCCCGTGAGAGGCCAGGTGCCCCAGGAGCTTTAAGCTCTCCAGGCCAGAGCAGCAGCTGTACAGCAGCGTACACAAGGCCTGCAAGCCCCCAAAGGTGAACCGGACCAAGGCTTCCACCAAGGCCAGCAGCGAAAGCAGGACTCCGCGGCCCAAGTGCAGAAGACTAGTCAGTACCGTGTGTGGCAGGTTGTAGATGAAGGCCAGCAGCCAGGCCAGAGAAGCCAGGAGGGAGGACACCAGCAGGAAGTTGAGATCCAACACCAAGGTCAGCAGGTCCAGGACAAGGCCCACCCCATTCACTATCAGGTACACAGCCTCCATGATAGGTCTGTGGAGGTTAATCCAAAAGGAAGTCTGACTCCCGGCTGAGGAGCGTGTCAAGGTTGACAATATTTGAGGGCGTCAGAGATTAATTTGGGAGGGAAATGAGCAGTCTCCACGCCAGGGAGAATCAAGAATCAGAGGAAGGTGTGGGTTAGAGCGAAGTGGAGTCTCAGTGGAGGGAAAGGGGACTAGGTGCCGGTCCAGGAGTCCCGGTTTTGAATGCGGCCCGTTTGGAAGAGAAGAGGCCAAACATCTCTAAAGTGGAGGTGAGCCCGGGCTGGAGGAGATATCTCAGCTTTGGAGGCCTGGTGGTGGCGAACCACGGGCGGGCAGTGGGTCAGACCGAGAGGAGACCGGGAACAGATGGGACCGGGCCGGGGCCGGGTGGGGGAGGCGCAGGCTGGGCGCGGGCTCGCGGTCCAGCTACGCAGGTACCCTTGTCCCCGCCCGGCCCCCGTCCTCGGGGCTCGCGGCTCTTTGCGTCCAAAGGACTAGTGAGAAAGGGAGTCAGCTTCAGCAAATCCCAAACGCGGCCTCTATTCCGCTGGGCGCCGCCATCTTGTGTGCGAAAGGGTGGGGCAAAAAGTGTGACCAGGAGGGCGGGACGACGAACTCCGACCAACCTTGAGGAGCAACGGCAGGAAACATCGAGCATTCATTGGTCTGTTTGAACGGGGCCCGAACGTATTTACTTTCCAGAGGAAAGGGCGGAGACAGATTCAAGTCCCGCCCCCTTGAGGCAGTGATTGGTCAGCTGACGGGCAGAAGTGGCATATGCCCTCCTCCTAGTCCCGCCCCTTAACGGAGCAGGCTTTTTGGACTGGGCCAAATAACGGGAACCGTGCTTGCTCCTGGCCCTCGGTCAGATCGGTCAGATCGTGAACGTTTTCGGTGCGGTTGATGGTTACTGCCTCTGAGCCGGACTCTGGGATTTTACCGCCTCCACATCCTCCTCAGACTCGCCGCCTCGTCCTCCTCTGTTCATTCATTCGTTTAGTCTATCATTTATTGAGTGCCTGCAAATACACTGGGAATACAAAAAATGTTTAAAGGGGTGCCTGCTCTCAAGCCGTCCAACAGATGGTGACAGGGCATTCCCAAATGCTATTCCAAACGGTTTCCTCTGGCGCCATCAGCTTTTCTCGGCATCTTTAGACTACCTCATTGTCTTTATGAAAAGGAGGCCACAGACAAGAAACAGCTCACCTTCCTACACTAGCCCCTGTTAATTTGCTTACTTGAACATTCTAGTTAGATATCTACACCTGCGCGGCTCCAGGTTCCTTAACAAGTTATCCTTTCCTTTAATATTCAAAATATATTTGAGACCCCCACCCCAAATACATTGGGAAACCAAACCTGATGTTCTCTATTAACGCCAAGGATACCTGGGGGTCTTACCCTTCCCCTGGTCACCATTGCTTTAATTTCCTGCTTCTTTAATGCTTCATCTCCATTCTGACCTGGACTCCTGAAAGTGTTTGTCCCCATTCACCCACTCAACCCCAAACACGACCTGAATCCCTCATTCCCCAAAGCACAACTAACAGAAAGCTGAGGTGTACAGCAAGCCTTCACTGAGACGTGGGGTCCCCACAGGGTTACTGCAGATTACCCTGCAATGCAGGAACTGTGTTTTCTAAAACTCCACTGGTTTTGCACCAGCCTCTCTCTCACACCTGTCAGGCCCCACCTTAATGATTTCCCTGAGGCATGTTTTTCCCTTCCTCTTCCTCTTGGGATTTCCCCTCCCTTTCTCTAGCCATCAGATTCCAACTTCCTATTTTTTTATTTGATTTTACAGAATAGTCTGTCTCTACCCCCACAAAATGCTAACCTCCCTAAAAAAGGGAGAACAAATAAAGATTTGTTTTAGCCTCCTGCTCAGATCATGGTCTGTTGTGGTTATTGTTATGGATGTTTTTATTGTCCAACTGTGCATTTTCCCCCAATTTCAAATCTTGGAGAATATACCCACTTCCCCTTCAAGATATTTGATCTCCCCACCTGTAACCTGTTCTCTTCAGAAATCTTCCTTGTTCGGTGAACACTATTGTGTTCCTAATCTAAATTTTTGCAGCACTTGATACCAGTGACCACTTCCTCCATTCTTTCATGGACCCTCCTCTCTACATGATGATTTCCAATTCTGTGCCTTCAGCCCGAATCTCGCTTGCAAAGTTTAGGTTCCAAGCGCTTCCTGGACATAGTCAGTACCTGATTATCACAATGGTACTTCAAACTCAACATGTCCAAATTCAAACTCAGAAAACTTCCTGTGCCTACACTGTGTGCAATTAACCAGCTAGCTTTCCACACCAAGAAAGACCTTCTTGGAATTGGCAGGATCCTCTAAAACAGTATTTCCATTCGTTTGGGACCAAAGCCTCCCCTCTGAGCGACTTGAGACTCGCCAAAGCCACTTCAAATGACTCAGCTGGCAACCCAGCTGTGGGCAGGCAGAGGTTACGTGTGGCCCAAATTCGTGTGACAAATGAATTGCTATATTACAAAATGCTCTCCGTTCTTCAGCTAGAAACAACCGAAAATTACCGTGTGAACACAAAGCAAAAGAAGTGCTGGGCTTCAGGGGCGCCTGGGTGGCTCAGCCGGTTAAGTGTCTGACTTTGGTTCAGGTCAAGATCTGCAGTTCGTGGGTTTGAGCCCTGTGTTGGCTCTGTGCTGACAGCTCAGAGCCTGGAGTCACTTTGGATTCTGTGTCTCCCTCTATCTCTGCCTCTCCCTTGATCGAACTCTGTCTCTCTCAAAACTAAACATTAAAAATATTAAAGAAGTGCTGGGCTTTGGTTAAGACTTCGACTCTTGATTTCAGCTCAGGTCATGATCTCATAGTTTGCAGGTTCCAGCCCCACACTGGGCTCTGCGCTGGCAATGCAGAACCTGCCTGAGATTCTCTCTCCCTCTCTCTCTGCCCCTCCCTGCTCTCTCTCTCTCTCAATAATTAAAAAAATAAACTAAAAAAAAAATCATTTTAAAGAAGTGCTGGGCTGACACCCCCTTGGAGAAGCAAAGGCACTTCCTCGTGCTGGGAGACTTTAAACCACTCCCCTTGCAGTAACCATGGAAATGATGGTTTGGTTTGGAGTCAAGTGGTATCCCTTCCTAACTTGATAATGTTCCTTTTTCCTTGGAGACTGTGTTTCAGATAAGAACGGGTTCAAACCCACAGTTGCCAAAGCGGGGCTTATCATGTGTTTGGAAGCTGGAGAAAGGAGACTGGAGAGCGTTGGCAGTAAGATCTGACACCAACTAACATTAAGGAGGAAGTTCAAATTGCTTGCTAGCGTGAGTTGCAGTGATTGAAAAGAAAATCAGACAGATCTTAAGAAAACTTAATGCCTAGACGCGCTATGTATCCTTGTAGAATTTTAGGACGGAAGTTGTAATGGGGTGAGCTACAGTCCTCAGCCACCTGTCCCCAAGGGGCTTCCTGCTGCACTAACCGCAGGGCTTTTGTTTCACTAGGTGAGAGATGCTGGCTGAGATAATAAAAGGGGATTTTAGAGATGGGGGAAAACCATGAATGTCCAGTTCAGGGGTCTTAGTTTAGAGTTGGATTTTTTTTTCCTTTTTGATCGAATTTTGCTGTTGCTTTATACAAACCCTTTACAGTGTTCCAAAGTCCAAACTATAGAAAAAGGTACATTCATAGGTTTGTTTTCCTTCTGCCCCCTACACCCTGTTTCCTCCCAGCACCACCTAAGGGCCTCGCAAATCACAAACAGCAAAAACTGTTTTCCTTGGTCCATCAGGATCCAGGGCTTGGCATTGACACACCAGAACTCATAACCCTAAACATCAGCTCTGTTAATAACCCCATTTGGGCCCAGAGAAGCCCTTCCCTGCATCTCTGAGGTAACTGTGTCCAAAAGCCACCAAGAAAACTCCTGAATTTTTATATGGGAGAGGATTCCAGCAGTTGAAATGCTTAGGTAAGAAAAGAAATACGTTAATTAACTAGTCAAATTCTCCTGCTTTCCTTCTTGTTCCAATTTGTGGCCCCAGAAGTACTCGGAAACGAATGCAATGGCTGAGGAACATTTGTAATATCAACTCAGATTTTTTAATGTGTATATATGTAAATCTAGATGAAACATGCATGCGTATTTAACTGGTTGTAGCTCCGTTTTAACAGAAGGGGAGGGCTGAAAAAAGCCCCTCGTAATTTTCGGCATTGATTTAAAAGACTGCTGAGGGCAAGTCAGTGGTGATTGGACTGACATGGTTAGTAAAGGTAAAGAGGAACCAGGTTCCAGAAGCATGTTTTGTGCCATGTTCCCTGTAGGGCGCATAGTTTAACTTGTTTCTAGACCTGGCCTCAATTGTGCTGATCATGATCGCATTCTCGGGAACGATAAAAAGATTTTATATACAATGTTTTGTGATTCTGCCCAAAGATAAAACATCTAGGAAAAACACACATCACATTTCACCTTACTGCCTCTCTGGGACACATGATGGGTACACAGGCTCAATGCTGTTAAACAAATATATTCGAGGCGCCTGGGGGACTCAGTTCATTAAGTGTCCAACTCTTGATTTCGGCTCAGGTCATGATCTCACAGTTCTCGGAGTTCAAGCTCTGCCTCGGGTTCTGTGCTGACAGCGTGGAGCCTTCTTGGGATTCTTTCTCTCTTCCTCTGCCCCTTCCCACTTCCCTCTCTCTCTCAAAAGTAAATAAACATTTAAAAATAATAGTAATAATATTGACAAAAGTTTAACCAAAAAGATCTAAATATACAATATACCAAATCTATGATGCCATATATATATATATATATATATATATATATATGGATATGGATATCTCCATATACCATTAAGGGTTATCTGCAATATTTTAATTCCCCTAAAAATTCCTGTGTTCCATCCCTTCCCTCTCTCCGCACCCCCAACCCCTGGCCATCACTAAATTTTTTCCCTCCTTCCCCCACTGACGCTATTTTTTTAAAACTTTTTTTAAAAATATAATTTGTCAAATTGGTTTCCATACAACACCCAGTGGTCAGCTCAACAAGTGCCCTCCTCCATACCCATCACCCTCCTTCCCCTCCCCCCCACCCTCCATCAACCTCAGTTTGTTCTTAGTACTTAAGAGTCTCTTATGGTTTGCCTCCCTCCCTCTCTGTAACTTATTTTTTCCCCTTCCCCTTCCCCATGGTCCTCTGTTAAGTTTCTCAGGATCCACATATGACTGAAAACATATAGTATCTGTCTTTCTCTGACCGACTTATTTCACTTAGCATAATACCTTCCAGCTCCATCCACGTTATTGCAAATGGCAAGATTTCATTCTTTCTCATTGCCAAGTAGTATTCCATTGTATATATAAGCCACGTCTTCTTTATCCATTTGTCAGTTGATGGACATTTAGGCTCTTTCCATAATTTGACTATTGTTGAAAGTGCTGCTATAAACATTGGGTACATGTGCCCCTATGCATCAGCACTCCTGTATCCCTTGGGTAAATTCCTAGCAGTGCAACTGCTGGGTCATAGGAGAGTTCTAGTGTTAATCTTTTGAGGAACCTCTACA